CACTGTCTTCTACCTTGCTATCGGGTGCACCGGATACGCCGCCTTCGGAAATGATGCTCCCGGCAACATCCTTACCGGATTCGGTTTCTATGAACCATTTTGGCTCGTCGATATGGCAAACATATGCATCATCATTCACCTAGCTGGAGCTTACCAGGTAAAACTTCAAATACTATAGATCATGTTCAGTGGTCCTGCGACTGTAATTAATAAGTAATGGTGCATCAAAGCGATATCTGTTCTTGGACTAGTGAATTGGAGGATCTTTATACTATCTAAGAATAGACATCGGTTTGCGGTACTATTCATGCAACGAACTGAGACCATGAGATACTTAATTTCTTTGAAAATGATGTAACGCCGTGTGTCTATATTTGTATTTCCTTTATTAGAAGAGTAACCCTCCGACTTTCACCACAATTTTGAAATTTGAGTATAGTGACATGATTCTTTAATATGATATCGGAGCAACTCAGATTACTACCCACAAATTTAGAACATATTTTTTTTATTAAAAAATTACTACAACGGCGTGAGTTTAGATTTCTACTCATAGATTGAAATTAATGCGCATCAAAGAGAGATCATATTTGGATTAGTGAACTGGAGGATTTGTGCACTATCCAAGAATAGACGTCCCCTTGTTGTACCATTAATGAAATGAACCGAGAGTCTGAGACCATTGGGTAATTAATTAGTTTCTCTAAAAATAATGGCATTCATGTGTTCGTACTTATTCTTCTCGTAAGAGTGTAAAATAACAGCCACAATCTTCGCCATAACTTTAGAGTTTTGACATGGTATCAAAACAGCCCAGCTTCAAATCCCACTTGTCACAGATTTAAAACAGATTTAGAAACAAATTGTTACTGCTAGATGAGGCTTAGATGGTAGATTTCGATCCATACAAATGGCGCTCAACCTTCAGAGAAGGTTAAGAGTATGAAATTACAATCCTCAACACTAATCAAAACTTCAATGCTTTGGCGTGTTTATGGGTTGTTCGACACTTGCTTTCGAAGATTGTATACAGTAACAATGATTCACTGAATAAAAATGCATTAGGAAGAAGTCAAGCATTAGTAGGCGAGATTTTTTTTTTTTTTGATTGATTGATCAAATGCTTTAACATAACATGCGACAATCGATACAGGTCTACGCGCAACCAATATTCGCCCAGTTCGAAAAGAGAATTGCATCCCAATGGCCAGAAGCGAAGTTCATCCACACAACATACACAATCCACCTCCCCTTGACAAAATCCGGCCCCCTGAGCTTCACGCTCTCAAAGCTCGTCCTCCGTACAATCTTCATCCTCTTCACAACACTCGTAGCGATGCTCCTTCCCTTCTTCAACGCCATGTTGGGCCTCATCGGAGCCCTGGGGTTCTGGCCTCTGTCGGTGTATTTCCCGGTGAGCATGCACCTATCTCAGAACAAGATTCAGAGGGGTGCGCCTAAATGGATTTGGTTGCAGGGTCTGAGTTTGGTTTGTCTGTTGATATCTGTCGGTGCTAGTGTTGGGTCCGTGGAAGATATAATTAGTAATTTGAAGAATGCTGCCCCTTTCAAGCTGGCATACTAAGAATTCTGAAACTAGTTTGTATTGATGATGATGATGATGATGTAATCCGAGTGACTTGACGTAAAGAAACTGATGTATTCAGCAACTGATTTTAGATGTGGAGGTTTCTTATTCTTGCACTGGATCAGATTTTATGGACTTTGTTTACGTTTTTGTGCAGGTACAAAGGATTTAAAAAGGTTATTGTTCGAATATCAGAATAGGATTTTTTTTAATGTAAAAATAGGGCAAAGTGCCCTACCATAGATAAGTTATATAAGTGCAAAAGAAAAAGTATTACAAAAGTAGATATCTACTGGTGATTGGAACAACACCTCCGAGATGGAGTAAAAAAACCAATCACTAGTAGATGTCTAGAAGATATATACAAATACTAACACGATGCTATGAATAGCTAAAAACCAAAAGAAACAAAAGAACTAGGAACCGCAGTTCAAGGATTCCCGTTGCTGTCCTCGTTGGATTCGATGATGTCCGCAAGCCCAGAGGAACGAATATCAGAATAGGATTTACAGACCCTTATCCTAGTTGTCACAAGGACTCAACGCTATGTAGCATCTTCGTATCTATATACGGTTGACTAAAGTAGACGGGCGAACTTGTTGGAACTACAATCCAAGGTTTTTCCATAACTCTTAAAAGTGAATGGGAAGCAGATCAAGTATCACAAAGTGACCCCACTTTCTGTTTCTCTTGTAATTGAGAAGTGAAACTACTAACTACTAACTACATCGGCCTTATCACAGCTTATTATACCACTTGCACTGGGGAGGGCAACTAGGAAAGACATAACAAATTATCATACCACTTTTGAGGGCGGTCGTCAATTTGTATTGGTGGCATATGAGCAGTTTGCTAGGGCCTTCGTCCGTTGAAATCTATATTACATATTTAAGAAAAGCCCATCTTTTTGGTTTGTGTGTCAATGTTTTTAGAGATACCAAAAATATCCTCGCATTTCAAAATATTAAAAGAAGCACGTTCACTTGCAAAAGACGAACGAAAATGCTTGACGTTTGAGAATCAACACAAATGCTCCCGCTCTCGCAAAAACCATTCCCAAATGCCCTCACATTTTTTACTTATGCACGTATCACGTGCCCCAGAGTACTGGACTCAATAAAGGAAACTGCTAACTACAAGAACTGTACTATGCTAACAAATTCATAATTTCTTATTGCAATTTTGAAAAAAAAAACTCCACATTTTTGTGTCTTGTTGTACAATAGTAGCACAACTCTTAATTGTCTCGTTATGATATCCCTGTCTAAAACTCCTGATACTAGTGGCTTCTGGGACACTGCTTTGAAGATAATCGAACTCAGTACACGGATATGATGCATTTTGATAAACATTTACACTTTTACTAACAGTGAAGGGGGTAAATAAAACCCCGTAACCCAAACCCGTTGCAAGAGAAGATTTGAAAGTCTTGATGACATACATTACAATAAATTTCAGTAAAGAGAGGAGTAACGAAGTAAGAACCTTTAGCTGCTTGTCACATAAATTGACCACACTGAAACTTCAAAATTGTTGGTATTTCACCGTAACAAGTCACTAACCCATCATTCCTGGAAAGAGCTCTGATATCTTGGTGAACACATCCATAACCTGTGTAATGAAAAGTCACGCAGTCAGAATTTCAGAGCGCTAGATTATACATGTAATGTTATTGTTTTACAGTTAATGGTATAAAAGCTAACTGAATCTTAAAGGGGAAAATACAAATTTGTATGTATATGAAAAAATAAAGTTATTTAGACATATATCCCTCATATCTTCAATAATTCCATATTAGTCCCTCAAATCTCAATAATTGCCTATTAGTCCTTCAAAGTCTAAGGGGTCTTGCAATTTGGTCCCCCAATGAGTAAATACCCCTTACTTATGATTTCTCTCTTAAAACCCATTTCCGAAAGAGAGTTATTTGCACTTTAGTACTCTAAAGTTTATAGCTTTACCCCAAAGTTTTTGACACTGACACCCTAAAGTTTATATCTTTTATGACTTTGATACCTCAAAAGTTTTTTCCTAACACTTTTGTTATGAAACTTTTTTCACTTTGATATCCCAGAGTTTTGTTTTTGACACTTTGATACCCCAAACTTTAGGGTATCGAAGTTTAAGATGTGCAACTTTGAGGTATGGATGTTAAAAAATGTTGAATCTTTGGAGTATGTACGTTAAAAAATGTGTAAACTTTGGGGGTATCAAAGTGTAAAAAAAAATCTTGGGGTATCAAAGTGTAAAAAAATTTGGGTATCAAAGTTAGAAAAGGTGTAAACTTCAGGGTATCATAGTGTCAAAAAAACTTCGGGATATCAAAGTTTAAAAGGTGTAAACTTTAGAGTGCCAAATTGCAAATAAACTTTAAAAAAAATACTAGCTGATGGTATTTTGGTCATTGAGGGACCAAACTGCTATTACACTAGGATTTGAGAGACTAATGAGCAATTTCATAGATTGAGTGATAATATGGAATAATTGAAGATTTGAGGATCTAATATATAAATAACCCATAAAATAGACAAGTGAAACCTAAACAAATCTTACTTCCACATAAAACTGTTCAAAAGGTTTACTTTCCATGAAAAATTGATCACTAGTCTACAATTACGTTACTGTGATTACTCAATATGCTGGGCATGGTTAACAAATTTCTTAATTTTCCATAAGTCATTAATAATAAGTCATGTTAATGACCACATAAACATCTTACAGGTTCTTTGACCCTATAAACATTTTAAAATTTGTTAAAGATAGTTATTATAGAAAAGTGACCGCTATACAATGCCCGAACTTCCAACACTAGCTTCGTAGTAGTAGGCCCTCAAAGCTTCTACAATCACAGTTTGAGAAACTTGCATATGACTAGTTCAAATTATTAACAGGCTTTCATAACCTTTTTATAATTCTGAGTAATCGATTAACTATATATGCATTGTGCAGTATACAGATTGTTGAACTATTATCCACGACAATTAGAATTAAAAATTGTTATGGTCATGTCGCATTTTCCAGGTCCGCAATGAAAAATAAATCTAAATTGAGAAAGAGCCATATAAACAATAACCAATTTGTTAGCGCTCTGGATTGATGTCATATTCCTACAACAGGGGACGACAGTATAGCCCGATAGAAGTTGCATATTAAGCTTATGCATTACAGAGCAACCATCCCATATCTACCAGAAAACTTAGTGAAGATATAGGATAGATTCTTCAATTTTGTTGGCCAACAGCCTATCAGCTCAAACTTATGGATTTAGACTATTCATGAGGCCATAGCCATAACGTGAGCAAGAAATTTAAAACCTTGCCCTTAATAATTTACAAAAATAGTTATATTACTCACTCCAGTTATTGTCCCTTCCAAGGCCTTCCATTTGCTTGCCAATTCATGCTTTCTAGGAGAATGTTTATTTCATTCAACTTGCAAGTAACTTCTACATGTATAATTAAGATTGCTTATTTAGATATGGGGTGTAAAATCCAATAAAGTGTCAGGATTGCTTCACTTGGAGAGGACATAAAACCCAGAACTTAAGCTCTTCTGGTGAAGTTGTTCAACAGTATTTGCTTTCACAACGCATAATATAAAGCAAAGAACCAAATTGGAAGAGAATAAATATCTCTGGCCTATGAATAGAAATTAATACATTAACATCTCACCTCCTTATCATTCTGATATTTTGTGATACTTAGGGGATTTTGTGAGCACTGCAAATGGGAAAAATGTGTCAGCAGAGCCAAAAGTTGCAATATGATATAGGAAAAGGTAGTAATAGGAAAACATACTTCCATGATTGCGGCTTGCACTTTTGGATTTTGAAATGCCATAGCAACATCAGGATTAGCCATAATTTTAGATATAACTTCTTCTGGAGTAAGCCCGATCTGGTCTGGATGCAAGACAGAAGGAATAAAAGTCAGATTATGAAAACCTGAAAGAAATAATGAGAATAATCTACTGGGCACTATCTGCATTTGGAATCAGGAAGGCAGATAGGAACAATCAATCAACCTGATAGTAGTTGCATCATGTAACAAACTAACAACATTAACCACTTATGGGAGTTGCATCATGTAACAAACTAACAACATTAACCACTTATTGGAAGCGTTGATAAGGGTCTGGGGAAGCTCAAGAAGAATCTTAGACATGATTACATAGATTATGTTTATATTACAACACAAATAATAGGAAAATGCAGGAAAACTCCTTGACAAGAAACCAGCTGTCTACAGTTTGCATGAAAAAACTTCATAAAAGCATCCACACGCTTGAAATGCAACACCCTCAATATGAGATGTAATACTGCAGAATATGTTGAGTAATCTGATTCATATGGTTATGCCAAAACAGAAATCCAATCAGTTCATGCCATTAACCTAAACCGTATGTAAACCCACCTGCAAGTCCACAAACAATAGCATACTTTTTTCAGAAGAGGGTCCGACTCCCAACACATCACCATCATGGGTAATTTATGGGCTCTAACACTTCTTTTCAGGCATACAATATGCAATGCTTTTGGCGCTATATTTAAAGAGTATCCTCCCTCTGCTTTCTCCACCTCTCTTAGGGGATATTCCCGCTTTGGAATAAGTTTCTGAAAGTGCGACCTTTAACTTGGGACTTTGGTTTTCAGTGTGATTGATTCCGAATTGTTCTTAGTGTGCCTATAATTGGGAGTTTGACCAAAATATCTCACCTTTTAGTCGTACATGTATTTGAC